GTAGTTAACATATCATGGCTCAGTTACTGCATTACACAAGGATCAGTGTCACGGCTTCAAGATGATATATGAGGTTTTTAACCATCAAATGTCAGCCATTACCAATCTAAATATATGGAAAAAGTATAAAATATTACATCAAAGGATATATGTAAATTATTTACTTTAGTTTGGCCTAATTGATCTTATCCCAAGCAAGGATGATTAAAGTCCTTTTCCCACATTCCTAAGTTGTTAAAATCTTTTAAAATACACTATATGGATAAAAGTACCGGGCCACCTTCACGTTAGGAGCTGCTCGGCCATGTAAACTCACAGTGCACACTTTCTGTGCTGACGTTGATTCAAAGGGAGGTTTTTCAAAGTCTCCAAAGTTATTGAGTCATCAGAGCGTCTGAGACTTTTACACACTGTGTGACTTTACGTGATCTGTAACTATGTGGCTGAGTTGCTATGATTGATAAACCCTTGCAATTTGCAATAAGCGCACTTAAAGCTGATGGGAAGAAACTTACTGCAGCACAGTTCCACGCTCAAATCCAGTGAGCTCTTCAGAACGACCCATGCTTTCACGAATGTTTGTAAAGGATGATTGCATGGTTAGGTGCTTGATTTCCTACACCCTTGGCAAGTCATTAAGAGGTGTGGCCCAATACTTTTTTGCATACAACTAAACCAAAAGCTGCTTAGCTAAACATTAAGATGGTATAAAAGGCAGTCCAGCTGTCTTCAAACATACACACTTCACTGGGGTGCTGTTTGCCAAAATAATCTGGCGCATAGCCTTTAGAAAATGCACATTGGTTTATGGGCCCTTTGAGCTTTGAGATGGTGTAAGACAGGATGTTGTTACTTTTAGACAGAGCAGTGTTAAGTGTTTCACACTATATGTTATGCTCAAGATCAATTTAAACTGTTTGTTTATATTGATCTTGTAAGAAAAATAATGTTTTATGTAGATATAAATGGTGATGCATCAGGAAAAACTGGCCCAAGCTTCATAGGTCTCATTCTTTTAGAGCTATTTTTTCTGAATTTGCCTGAATGTACATTTTTGAATGTGACTGCAGCTGTTGTATTTAACTTCAACAGATGTCTTCCTAAGATCTCAGTCAGGCTGACTCATAAGGCGTGTTTTCCTTGTCGTCTGTTTTCCGTGTTAGAAATCTTTATTTGCACTTTCGAACATGCAGAAAGGTAAAATAAAGATCTGACACATTTTCTAAACATTCTCCAAACACTTTATAAAAATGTCACAGTGTTTATTTGAACTAATTTCTCAGTTTGTGCTTTTTGTTTCTCCTAAGAAGAAACATAGATTACAACACTGATATTTTTTTCCACCTCAAAAGCCACATCGAAGCGGCTGAGGAAGCGCAGTCGGTGTCGTTTATGAGGTTTAACTCTTTTGGTTCACTGGGTTTTCTTTCTGATATGAAGTAACATCTTCTCTCTGGTTCTTTTTTTCCTTCCCTCTCCTCCCTCTTCTCTCCTCCCTGCATCTCTCGTTCTGAAGTTCAACAGGACTATAGGAATGACTACTGAGGAGCATTCTTGAACCATGCTCCTCTCCTCCACCTGTGCTCACCTCCTCCTGCGTCCTCTTTTAAAAAGAAAAGACTAGATACTGAAGAAACGCCTGTTATTCCCTAAAGGCTGCCATATTTCCTGGGATGGATAAGTCCTGACACTTTTGAAACTGTAGTCCCTGCAGCAGCGATTATCACATTTTTCTTCTCTGGAGACCTTCTGTTTTGTTTTGTTTTGTTTTGTTTTTTTTAGCTATTTCTAAGATTTTTGTTCTTTAGGGGTTTTTTTAAAGGCACATCAGTTTAAAAGCAAGGTGGTTTTCTCATTTTAGAAATCGTTACGCCGTCGTTTGGTGCAAGTTTTTAGACAAACACACCAGATTTTCAGACTTCATGCACCCGTGAGTAAAATATTTTGATAAGCACTGCTTCATTAAACTAGTACGAGCAATTTGACTCACTTTTCCACAAAAAACAGCCACCGCTCGTCGTCAACAGGACCACCTGTCGACAGATACTCGTGTATGCAAAGCTTTGCTGCCGCAGCCTTTGCTTCGCCCTGCTTTAAACTCAGATCTCATAAAAGCTAATCTCATCTTTCAAAAGCCAGACAAATCAGCTAAATAGTGATGGATTGCTTTGATGCTGACTGGCTGCTTTCATTACTGAACATCCCAGCTATTAGTGCATCTCAGTTTCTGCAAGATGGACAGAAAATCTCAGTTTTTACGCCTGATATAATGTGATCATTTTCATTCCTGGAAAAATAATCACATCTGGGCGATACTGGGGCAGAGATTAGATCCGTCTTCAGTTCCATTAAACTACTTCCTTATTAACCCAATCTTTTGGACTCTGTCCCGGGTCCTGAATCTGCTTCTGCAGAGAAGTCATTTCACCATCAAAGAAGTAAGAATTGTTGACTGGTTGAAATGATTTTAACCTGCTGTGAAGCTATTTCTGAATCTGTGCATGCCTCACTTTCCCGCTCTGCTTCTTTCATACCGTACTCTTGTGTTGGCCTTAACCTCGCGCCACGCTCTCCTGTAGTACTGGCTTTGTGTTCGCTGTGCTGATGCAGAAACACTCCGACTGATCCTAAATATTCCCACCACCCCAGTTCAAGCTTTGCCTCATGGCGCCTACCAGCCCTACAGTCCTCCCTACAATCAGCCACACCATCCTGCTGCAGAGGCTTACGACAACAGAGGAGGGGGTGAGGAGGAGGAGGAGGAGGAGCAGGACCCCTATTATCGTGGTTATCCCCCTCAGTACTACCCTCAACAGCCTTCTCAGCTGGCACACATCAACTACGGTTACCACTTAAGCCCCACCTACTCCGAAGACGTGGAGCTGAGGTCACCGGGCGTCGCCGGGAGGTTTTTGCGGGATGTCGACGTAATGGAGGAGAGCGAGGATGGAGGACTTTAGATGAAAGACGAATTAAAGTCCTCAAGATAAGGACACAACACAGATGTTCCCACAAAACGCAAAGAGCTGAGACATGCATATACAACACCTGAAACTGTGGCGAGAACTTCCGTCCCTTCCCTCCCGTGTCCCCGGTGGGATCCCCCAGCCCCACCCCCATCAGGTGAAACATTGTAAATAGCTCTGTGGACTCTTGTACCATATCTCTGTAAAAGGGAGGTCCGAAAAGTGCCTGATCTATGTTTAGCAACGCCCATTTGATAATGTCAAGGTGAGACTTGTTCCTTCCCATCTCACAGCCGATTTAGCAACTTTTGTGTGGAGCTGCATGGAAGTGGAACCCGCGCCTCTCGTTTTGGTTGTAACTAACTGGGTTGTTTTAGTTCAGCTGGTAACGTTTGCGCAGGCTGCTTTTTTATAATGATGACTCATGTTTCCTCTGGTTGTCTTTGTTTTTGTACCAACTGTTGAAAAGTGGTGTTCTTAGTGGACATGAAACCCAGACCAATCAAACTCCTTTCCCTGAACACTTAGAAGCACACTTTAAAAAAAAAAAAGATAATTTCTTTTTAATTTGAACATTGGCGCTCGTTACTGTTCTGGATTTTATTTTATTTCGGGGGGCTTTTGTGAATTTAAAGAACATTGTTTTGTTCATTATGTTCCCTTTTTTTTCTTATGCAAATTTGGGCCTGCTCACTGTGGAAGCTGTTTGCTCACTGGCTGAACTCTGACCTCTTTCTGGAATAAGACCTGAAGTCAGTTATTATTACAAAAAGAAGAAGAAAAAGAAAATCCTCTCGCCTCTCTGTGAAATCAATAAGAACCCCTCTTGCACTGCAGTCAGAAAAACAAGCAGCAGACGTGTTGCTACGAGCTGGTCCCGGTCTGGATTTTAACTGTCGACCGTGAATAGCTTTAATAAGGAATGTGTCTCGCTACCGCACCCTTTGGTACAATATGGACTTATTTATTTTCTATTTTGTTTGCTTTTATAACCAATAAATCTGTAATGAGACTACAAGAATGGGCTTAGGTCATTTGTTTAACAGCGCAAAAGGGTCAAAAACTCAGAGTTTACAACACTTTTGTAAAAACAACATTCGACAAGAAGAGGTTCGTTAAACTGTTTATTAGCCTTTTTACAATTCACTTAAAAGGGGAACAGATTTATCGATGGAAACTTAATAACCAAAAAAAGCAGCCGTGAACAAGTTAACAGTTTGGGATTCTCATATAGTAACACATTAACTGGTTTCACTGTGCATCCACAAGCCTTTAAAGACAGGATCAGCTCTAACAGATGCCACTTTTAATGGAGCAGATCGGATCATTTCATGGTGTGTAATCAGAGGAAAAACCCACAGAATCTGATTTTTCTCACAGCTGAGCCACATGGTGAAATCTCAAGCTGTCATTGGATAATTCAGGCCCACCGCGGTCGCGCTGGAGCCGACAGGAGCGACAGAGAGGTTCCCCTGGTAGGATAATGTTGATGTTCTTGGCATCTATGTTATGTTAAGTGCTGTCGAGCTCTGATGCCAGTTCTGCAGGCATAAACTGCAGGCTAAATTTACACAAATCAATAGCAGAGGATGGTGCTGCTTTCAGTGTTGTGTTGATATAAGACTTTTTTTTCCCCCCTCCCTTTCTCGGTCTCATTGGGCAGCCTTCATTTCATCTTGTAGTCTTCAGGTCTGTGGAAAAAATACAACACAACGCATTAGTATGAAGGGTGGGAATGGACCGATTATAAGGAAAAACAGGGATAGAATGGGACATATGAGCGAGTGAGCAGATCGTATCTCTTTTTTTCCCCCGCCCCTTTTTTCAAAATGACTACAGAGACTGCGTCGTTGTTTTCGGTTTTTCCGCTTTAATTTCAAGCAGAGTTTGCAGCAGACAGATATTATCAGAGCGTGCTGTATTGGTTTTGATACAAAGTAGAAAAAATGTTGTTATCAAATGTAATAGCTCTGCTATCAGCTACGCCCGTATGCTGTCGGTTTTCTGTGTCTGAGCACTTGTTTGTGTGTTGACTGTGTGCGTGTGTGTTGTACAGGGGTGGACAGGGAGCTTACATTCAATAATAATCTCTCGCCTGGGCTCCAAGGTTTTTCTGAGAGAATATTAACAGTGTGTTTAATAAAGGGTAACGATTGAATCGCCCTGGATGACCTTAACCCCATCTCCCCTGACACACACACACACACACACACGATCAGTAAAATGAGTGAGGCAGCGTGTGAGCGAATATTAACTAGACTGAGGCCTATCTCTTAAATAAACCAGGATTAGTTTGACCTTGATGGCCACACAGCGACCAGCCTCAGCACACAGACTGATTGGCTGAGGAGATTGAAGCAGTAAACAATAAGAAGTAGCTCATTTATCACCTCGCACAGGCACACACTCTGACAGCAGTGGTGAGCGCAGCACCGACATGCTGTACATATCTGCAGAAGGCATATACACAGAGTGAAAACTAATGTCAGAGAACACAAAACTATTGGCCCTGTGTGGCACCACTGTCCCTTAAAAATTTCATGTATGCATTTTTCTATTTAACAACACGTCCATCACTGTTCAATAGGACGAGGAGCAGAAGAGGGCCTGACCTTCGACCTGGGGGTGGAGCTATTCTTTTAGGAACCAAATCTGCATGAGACAGTCCCCACAAATGCTGACACTATTCTCATGTACCCCTAAATAACTGTATTGTTTGAATACATCTACTTGGTGGTTTCATTTACTTACTAGCATTTTTGGTTTGCTGCCTCAGAAAAGTACAGTTAGACCACATAACACTAAAGCAGTGTTTCTAAACTCTGATCACTTGAATGCTCATTTGAGGTTTTTCAGGGGTTCCCTGCTCCAACACACTCAATTCAAACAATCATCTTTAACCTGCATGTAACACCTTTACTAATATTTTCCTACTCAAGTAGGAAAAAAGCTGAATTGTATACAGAGGGGTGAAAACACTGATTCTAAAAACTGATATTAGTTTAGTTCAATGTGCAAAACGTTAGGATCATACGAGCTAAATTGTTCATTTGACTGTTGTGAAGCAGATTTGGTTTTGATTCTGAGAGTTTGAGATTTCTGTGTCGACACAGGAGATCAATGGTGTGTGCAGCACCGCAAACAAAAAACATCAGCATTATTTCCAACAAAACAATGACAGTTTTGCTCCAAAAGCTCACACCACATAAAAAGCAATATGCAGAACATGACGAATTTTGCCATTTTGCTCAGTGTAATTGTTAACATGCACCGAATCCTGTTAACAAAATCCCATTAACATTTATTGAAGTGGGACATCACAGAGGCATCCAGCATCTGAAAACCACAAAGGAAACGTAGCTGCAGAAATAGATTCATGTGTTTATGGAGGTTTTACATAGAGAAAGTATGATGGCAGGAAAGCAGGGTTTGGATTTGCCAATAACAACAACAACAACAACAACAACACATTTATTAAATCCTGATTTAGCTGCTGTCTAAAATGTTTACAACAACCTGGAGAAACAAAATCCAAGCTTTCGAATTAAGCATCTCAGAGTGGGTACAAGAAAGACCATCAGAGGTCCTGGGTGCTGAGCATGTCCGGTGGATGAAGAGCAGTGACCCTGACTCAGAAGCAGCTGGGCCGCGGGTGAACGGATGGATTGATGAATGAACGGATGCAAAGGCTACTGCTGAGCAGGTGAAGCGAGAACGCTCTTCGTTAACCTGTCAGAACGATGTTTACTGCGGCTGAGGCCAGGGAGAACGGCACGATATTATCATGCTGGCAAACCGCGGGTCACAATGCCGGTCTAATCTCCAACCAGAAAATACTTGACTCAGAAAAGCTATGAATATGATTAGGCCGAGTAACAGATGCTCTCTCACACATCCTTCAGAGAAAACTTGTGTATCCAAGCGCTCAGGATGTGAGGGAATACAGCTGATTTTCCCAGTGTGCATCTGAGAGAACCGTCCTGCTCTGTTTTTGAGGTTTGGCTCCTCGTTACGATGTACAGTGTCCTACTTTTTTACAGCTTTTTGATTGAGCTCGCAATGAAGCCAACTTAAAAAAAAGAAAGTCAGCTTGGGGACAACTACTCCTATTTTCATGTAGTAGTGCACACAGGAGCCAGCTCCTTAGTGGTTCAGCACTTCAGTTCTTTGTGCGTCGCGTCACATAATGACAGCTCTAAGTTGGCTGACAATCATTCGCACCGCAGCTACATGTGTTTGTAGTTACGATGAAAAATGTTGCACTTTTTTTTCCCGCTTGAGGAGAAACTGTCATGTCACAATGGCCACAAAAAAAGGAGCTGTCATAGATTTGAATTTGATCCATTTGTGTGCGTGTTGCTTATTAAGACCGTGAAAACATTACAGGACTGCGTCAAAGCAGAAGAAGGCAAACCTGGGTCGAAACCTTCCCGTCTTATAAATATCTGAAGATTGTGCCGGCACACACACGAGTTCACAAGTCGTCTGTTTCTCATTTTAAATGCTTAATTTAAAACTTTGCACTACAGAGTAGGCTGGCATAGAGAGAGGGACTGTGAGGTGGTACACAGTTCAACATCACCCCCTTCTGGCCCATCCTCATCAACACAAGACTGATTGAGTGTGACGCGTCACCGCGAATGTTTTAATTTCTTCAGTATAAATGCAGCAAAATGGGAAACGGTGATCATTTCATTGGTCAATAATTTTCATCAACAACCTTTTTTTTTCCCCCTAACGAAAATGTGACGACACTATGATGAAATGTGATGAATGTACTGATATTTTAATCCCGAATAAAGACGAGATGAAAATATTTTGGAGAGATGGCATGATAAGAACTAATTAAAGTTGTGTAGAAAGGCGGGACGAGTTTGGAGGTGATCCAATCAGAAGTAATCTTGTGCGGCAAGGTTAGACCGGCACATTTGATCTGGTAAAACCGGCGCCCATCCTCCCTGTTTCTCATGAAAACGAGAAACGGGGAGAAAATT